CCTGGAGTACAGTCGCCTTTCACCTTGCCCTGCTCCACATCAATTAAATTAACCTCAGAGCAGCACCTCCCAGCCCCACAGAGCTTGCAATCTGTGGTTTGTGTTTCACGCCTCGAGAATGGTTTGCATGTCTCTCTGAGTCTTTTCAATTCTAACAATCAAATAAAAATTACTTCTGCCTCCACAGACCTTACTTTATTTTTATCTCTAGATATTCAAAGCTGCAGTAACAGTATCAATTTAAAGAAACCCTTGTCTCATTGAATGGATTTTAAAGTATAATTAAAATTAATTACTTTTGCCTTATGGTGTAAATCTGGATTCAAGCTATCAATATAATGTTAATTATAGTATCAATATGTAGGACTATAGATAGTTGATGCTTATTTTTTATAAGAAACTCAGTTTCCTTTAAATTCAAACTGTAGAATGCAGGCAGGTACTACTCTATTTGGTAAAATGACTACAGAGGACAGTGCCAAAAATGTTCTGGAGCATTTGTGGGTAGGGGCATTAGTAGAAGGAAATAAAACATACCAGGTAAAGGTTCTTCAGCTTTGCACAGAAATATTTTGCAGCACCACAAGGACGAACACATTTTAAGTTTCCAATAGCTCCATCTACTGTTGTCACTGCACCTTTTTTCTCCTCCACCACCAAGTCCTCACACACACTCAACTTTTAGTTAAACCCATTTTAAAGCTGAAACCCACCCAACAGTTCTGCCACTCCAGTTTGTGCCAACTCATACAATCATACAATGTAGAACTCTACATAAATTGCCAGGAGTTTTTAAGACTTTGTCAATAACAGTTTTAAAGATACAAACAAAAGACCTCTAGGACAGGCCTTCTCTTCTAGCACAGCTGATACATCAGCATTAAAGTGCTCTGATGTGGCCCCAAGGCTGCAAAAGCAGAAACAGATCTGCAACTAAATAGACAGTAAAATCTAGTAAATCTGACCCAAAAACAATAAAAGAAAAAACAGGTCAACATGCTGTGGCTTCATAACTGACACCAGACCTGTGTGTTACTGTAAATCATTTGATCCAAATCAGACAAAGGCAGAACTTTATTTCTCTCAAATTAGTCAGATGGCTTGTTAGGGTTGATAGTAGTGGTATGCTGGCTCAAGGACAGAGATACCCTGGGTCTGCCAGTACAAAACCAACTTCTGACAGGCTTAAAATGTGAGGATAAGCACAGACACCACTCTGTGTGGAATCTCAGGAATCTTTTTCTGCCCTATTTGATGAGTATTTAAGCTGGAACTGCTGGGAAGGCAGAAGACAGGCACCATCCAGGCTTTGTTTGGCATCACTGCTCCTGCTGGGGACCAGGAAGGACCAGAGACCAAGTGTCAGGTACTGGAATGGATCCTGCAGGGCAGTGGTGAGTGACTCACTGGCAGGGGGTGGGAAAGAGGATTCTTCTCAGTCACAGCCAATGCACTGGAAGCAGCTGTCCTGTCCTGTCTCCTGCTAAGAGGTGTAACTTGTTTGTAAGCCCAGAGGACTGGAAGCTGCTCCTGGTGTACATCCTTTGACTGCTCCCAAGCCCTCATGCTCTTCTTCACCTTCAGTGACCTGATTTGACAGAGAAGGGAATGCTCTGGGCTCTGGGGTGGAAGAGCATCGTAACACACAGAGGTGACCAAGTGACTGAGACCTGGGGGCATGAGAGGCACAGATCACACATGTGAGAGCAAACAGGCACACCCTTCAGCCTTGCCAATCACCTTCTCCCTTCTGTTAGCAATTCACGTCCCACAATGAATTCCAAACTGCTTGGAAGGGAGAAGTGTCTGTAAAATGGAAAACCAACTCATTTTCTGGCATTTAAGAGAGAAATCTGGCTTCAAGAAAAGAAGCCTTTCTCCAGTTTGCATTTAATGGTAATTTCCTTCACAGACAGCACTGCGGTTTGTTAAGCCTTCAACTTGAAACCTGTGTTTCAGAAGTACATTTACATGTAATTTCAGCCAGCTTCTGTGGGATTCCATGAATAGGAAAACCCAGGTGCTTGAATGAGAAGACCATGATTTTTCCTGGCTGCTTTATGGGAGGCATTCCAGCCAGGTAATAAGATTGGCTGTATGCAGTAGAAACCAGGCAAAACCAACATTTCCACACTACTATAGAAATCTATTAGATCCTGTTGCCATTTCCTAGCAGCAAAAAACAACTGCTGAGGTAGAGAGTTGGATACTCACTCCTCCTATGCAGGAATCTTAGAAGTGACAGGCTGTTCAGCCTTACCCTGTAAAAGTAAACTAAATTGAAGGACAATTAGCCCTCTTTCTTCAGAGGAACAATTCCAAATTTGCTTTCCTCTTTGTTTTGGAGCCTATTTAATTCCAACAGGATCAAAACCTGCAAACACTGTCATTTTTCACACAAGGTGTTAGGCTGTCTCTGGCTGTCCTGCCTGGTTTCATTACTCTGTTTATGATACATCTCTATGCCACAATTCTCCATTCAGCAGTACTATTTTCCACTGATGAACTTCTTTTGTGGCTTCCAACAGTTTCTGCTTTCCTGGACCACAAAAACGAAATGTCCTTCACTTCAAGCCACTTGTGCAGTCTCACACCACTATTCCACAAAACAAGATTTCTTTTCCAGGAGCACTATGTCTCCCTTGTCACTGCATCAGGCTCTAGAGCAGCACTGCTTCAACACTCTTTAGTGAAGTACTCTCTGAATGACTGATAGCTTGTTTTTGTCAATTACTATTATTTTTTATAATAAATGTGCATGTTTTAGGCTTGTATGGAGTGTAAATAAATGCATTAATTTAATACACCCACTTACAACACGCAGCAAAGCCACTTCACCAAACGGTGATAGTCTTTGCTCCATACAGACATGGAATAAGCAGTGTCACCCAAAAGGCTGGGGGATAGAGTGGAAAATTCAGCCTGAGAGGAGCCTGAGTGGGAATGGAAAGCATGGAGTACTTGGCAGAAAGTTTTCCTATATTTTCATGAACACTGAAGAGGTCTCCTTGAGGCACGATGGCATCTGCTACCTGAACAAAGACACAGGAGTCTCTTGGAGTGTCTTCCATCTTCTCCCTCCATTAACTCAATTTATGAGATGTTTCAGAGCATTCAAGGACCAGGCTTGGAAGTGGCAATTACTCTGCTGTCACAGGTTTTACATCTTTGCTCTCTGCTCATTTATCCTCCAGTCTCACTCTGACCTTGTATGTGCTCTAAGTGAGGAAGTGCATACACTGAGTGCAGGATTTCCAAAGTAAGAAAATTTGATTCTTTCTTCAGCTGTTAGTACCTTCAGTATAGGCTTCACCCCAGATCAGGCCAGGACAAACTCTGGCTATGACCAGGATCTGTGACAATTTTATGAATACACAACACAACACCACAGCCAGTGAAAAGTGAATGTTATCCCATCCTTGTGAACCAGCTGTGGAGACAAAATTTAGCAGCACCTTTTTCAGCTTGGCAGTGGCAAAGATTCCTCTCCTTTCCATTAAGGTTTGTCTAGGCTCCTTGGCAGACAAATTTTTCAAGTTCCCTTGAACATGACAACAGGAGAAGGCTGCTGATACAGGGGGATTTGCTGGATCACTGACAGGAATGACATCAAGCCCAGCCAGACACATCTAATGAAGAACACAGATGTCAGATCACTAAAACCAACATGCCAGGCCAAAGGCATGAAGGTTGGCCACAATCCCTGATTTCCTTCAGAAGGACATACAGAGCCTGTGACCAACTGCCAGGAAAGTAAAGGAAAAAAAAAGGGGGCTGCTATGTCATGTACCAGCTACGATTTCTCTTCAGATTTTTAAAGTTTGCTACCAAGAATCACAACTTCTCTAGAGGACACACATGAAGAACTAATCTAAAAAAAAAATAATTCAAAATAGTTAAAACTATAAGCATTTTTTCCCAACAGTTACAATTGGAGTGACTTGACAGCTTGATTCTTCAGGGCAGTGTGACAGCCAGGGAGGGAGGTCACCACTGCCATTTACCAGAGTTCACATGGGGTGCTGCACTGGAGAGCCCCCAGGTGCATTCCTCCTTCTCCTGGCACCGTTTTGGGGGCTTTTTCCTAGATGTTATTGAAGGCCACAGCTTTACAGTCAGGCTGCAGTTTCCTCTGAGATAGCATCCCTACAAACCCCTGCTTCTCACTCTTCTTCTTTCACACCCTGCTGTTGCTGGTGAGAAGCTTCTCCTCTTCTGGCCTCACACTCACCTTCTCCCCCTAGAATTCAGGTTCTTGACCCACCTGATGATGAAATCAGATTTGCCAGTGCTGGTCCCATCTTTCTGAACACATGAAAAAAATTCCATCAATGAGCAATGCTTTTCTTACTCAATACAGCTGAGGTTTTCACATCTTTCAGTACCCAGAATGAAGTGCCCGATTTCCTCAGTCCTTCCTGGGATCAGTGCCTCCAAACCACATCTGTCCAAGCTTCAACTAACAGGAATCCAGCCAGCATTCCAGCCTAGGTCAGCTTGTACTGTCACTCACATCAAGCACATTTGCATGGGAGTCATGACAGACAAATCTGACAAAATTCACATCAGAAATCTTGGCAAGAAGAAGGAGCTGCCAAATGCAATTTTGGGAACATACAGGAAAGGCATGAACCCCCTTCTTGGCAGCCAGCAGCAGTCAGGAGAGTGTTGGAGCTGCAAAAAAGGCTGATGGTAAGGCTCCTTGAGAAGAGCAGGAATACACAGCAAAGCCAACCCAGCTCCTTTCCCAGTGTTCAAGCTGCCGGGCCGCCTATAAAAAACATGGTTTTAAAATTTATTTTCATTTAGAGACAATAAGCTTTCAGCACTTGTGGCAGAAGAGTCTAGAACATTTCGGGAGCTCCAGCTGTAACTGAGCCAAATCCACCAGGAGAGCTTCTCCTTTGGGGGCAGAGCAAAGCCTTTGGAATTTTGAGGCAATCCCATCTCCATATGGCATTTATGCCACTTTTTCAGCAGCTCCGTGCTACACTTTTTTGTCAACAGCCGTCCGGGACGAGCTTCCCACTCCCGCAAGGACATCGCCGCTGCCTTTGCGCCGGGCCCGCGGTGCCTGGTGCCGGGAAGGGGGCGGGACACCGGGATGGGATCTGGGGCGGGATCCCGGGAGGGCAGCTCGGGCTGGGCGGGGAGTGGAGCGGGGCGGGATCCCGGGAGGGGAGCTGAGGCGGAGCTGGGGCGGGGCCGGGAGCTGGGACGGGGCCGGCAGCGGGGCTGGATCCCGGGATGGGAGCGGGGCGGATCCTGGGGTGGGAGCTGGGCGGGGCCGGGAACGGGGCTGGATCCCGGAATAGGACCTGGGGCGGATCCCGGGATGGGAGCGGGGCGGGGCCGGATACTGGGGCGGGGCCAGGATGGGAGCGGGGCCGGAGCCGGGATGGGAACTGGGGAGGAGCCGGGAACCGGGGCGGGATCCCGGGATGGGAGCTGGGGCGGGGCCAGGAACTGGGGTGGATCCCGGGATGGGAGCGGAGCGGGGCCGGGATGGGAGCTGGGGCGGGATCCCGGGATGGGAGTGGGGCGGGGCCAGGAACGGGGCGGATCCCGGGATGGGAGCTTGGGCAGGGCCGAGATGGGAGCTGGGGCGGGATCCCGGGATGGGAACTTGGGCAGGGCCGAGATGGGAGCTGGGGCGGGATCCCGGGATGGGAGCGGGGCGGGGCCAGGAGCGGGGCGGATCCCGGGATGGGAGCTGGGGCGGGATCCCGGGATGGGAGCGGGGCGGGGCCAGGAGCGGGGCGGATCCCGGGATGGGAGCTGGGGCGGGATCCCGGGATGGGAGCGGGGCGGGGCCAGGAGCGGGGCGGATCCCGGGATGGGAGCGGGGCGGGGCCGGGGTTTGGGGAGGGGCCGTGAGTTGCGCGGGTCCCGGGCGCGAGGCCGGGGCAGTCCGGCTCAGCGATTGGCGCTGTTTTTCCCGCGTGACGCCGCGCCGGGCGGTGATTGGCTGCGGCGCCCCCCCGCGCGGGCGTGGCCGCGGAGGTGACGGGCGATGGGGCCATGGCGCCTGGCAGCGCGCAGGGAGCGCCGGCCGCCGGCAGGTACGTGCACGGTCCCCCCGCCCTCACGCCGCCCGCGCTCCCCGGGGCCGCCGCCGCGGCGACCGGGCTCTGCAGTGGCCCAGGGCCGCCCCTCCCCGCGTGCGGCCTGCGCGGGACGCGCGGTGGGCCCGGCGGCGCCGCCGGCACTGAGGGGGCCGGGGGTCGTCGCGGGCGGCCGCCGGCGAGTGATGGCGCCTTGTGGTTCCTTCCCCCGTTAGGAGCGGGCCCGGCATGGACGGCGGAGGCCCGGCGGCGCACAGCGTGTGCATGGTGTCGGACTTCTTCTACCCCAACATGGGGGGCGTGGAGAGCCACGTGTACCAGCTGTCACAGTGCCTCATCGAGCGCGGCCACAAGGTGCTGGTGGTCACCCACGCCTACGGCCACCGCAAGGGCGTCCGCTACCTCACCAGCGGGCTGAAAGTCTACTACCTGCCCCTGAAGGTGATGTACAACCAGTCCACGGCCACGACGCTCTTCCACAGCCTGCCCTTGCTCAGGTACATCTTCGTGCGGGAGCGGGTGACCATCGTGCACGCCCACAGCTCCTTCTCGGCCATGGCCCACGACGCCCTGTTCCACGCCAAGACCATGGGGCTGCGCACCGTGTTCACCGACCACTCCCTGTTCGGCTTCGCCGATGTCAGCTCGGTGCTGACCAACAAGCTGCTGACGGTGTCCCTGTGTGACACCAACCACATCATCTGCGTCTCCTACACCAGCAAGGAGAACACGGTGTTGCGGGCAGCCCTGGACCCTCGGATTGTCTCTGTCATCCCCAACGCTGTGGATCCCACCGACTTCACCCCAGACCCCTCCAGGAGGGATGACAGTACAATAACAATTGTGGTTGTCAGCAGACTCGTTTACAGAAAAGGTAATGGGGGATCAAATGTAAGCTTGTTTTGGTTTCCTTTCTTTGGAGAGGTCTTGGTCAGGTACTACTTAGGTTGTATCTGTGGTATGGATGGATTTTGCACTGGGAGTGGTGAGGTGGCTGTTCCAAGCTTTTGTGTTTGTGAGCTCAAGAAGAAGAAATGTACATTGTTTTTGTACATGGTGGGTTCAGAGGTGTGTTTCCTTTGTAATACTGAAGAGACCAAAAACTTTGGTCAGTTTGTAAAATTGAAGGTTTGGCTCGTATTGGGCATAAGATTTAGGGCCTAATCTATATATTCTGTTAGAATTGTTTTAATTGTTTTTTATTTAATCCAATGACAGCAACTTAAGTGATTTTTTTTTCCATTTTTGTCTCCTATGAGGTCCCAAGTTGTGGGTTTTTCATAATTTTGTGTACAGTAGTTTAACTGTACACAAGAAGACTTTTCAGGAGACTTTTGTTTCCAGTTCTTCTGCTCCTGAATATAGTTGTAGTTGTGGGCTACATCATGAGAAGTTCTGAAATCAAATGAAATAATGGCTTGCCCTAAATTTTCTCCTCTTAGGTATTGATTTGCTTAGTGGTATAATTCCTGAGCTGTGTCAGAAATATCCAGAGTTACATTTCCTAGTTGGAGGAGAAGGACCAAAGCGAATCGTACTGGAAGAAGTCCGGGAGAGATACCAGCTGCATGACAGGTTGGTTCTGACCCTTCAAGGTACTTCAGGAGTGGAGACCTGCCTGCCTCCCTCCCCCAGATAAGCCCCAAAGCCTGAGGCTAAAGGCAAGGCAGATAAACCAGACACTGAAGACTTTGAGATCTGCACTATGGCCCAGCAAATAAATTCATATTTCTATGAATAGGCCCTGAATGAGCCTTCAAAGGTGGCTTAGATATAAATTTATCATGCCCCTCTCTGCAACCATGATGCTTGGATCTCATATGGCATCAGGTGTTAACAACTCATTTGTGCCATTGCATGTCAGGATGACTGCTAGGAATTTATTATTTTCACTATGAAACTCTTCAGCATAGTGCTTGTCTCATGTGTTCTTGTGGTGCTACAAACATGTTGCCTGGTGCTACCATGTTACCAGAATGTTGCCATGATACAGATACATTTATGTATTTCTATTGGGTTTTCTTGATCAAGAACAGTTTCATATTCTTGAATGTTCATTTTATTTTCTAGGTTTTTTTGTTGCCTGTTTTGTGCTTTAGTCACAATTAAATTTGTCAGTATCATTCTCATTTTACCCTTTATTGTTTTCCAATATCTCTTCAAGATGACATGTCCTGATCATCATATCTTAAAAACTTTTTCCCTTGTCAGACTCAGATTGGTCTGACCTCACATTGAAAATTCAGACAATGCATTTGACAAATCTTAATTATTAACTGACTGAAGCCATTTTTTCTTGCAGAACTAGAAGGCTCAGTAGCAATGTTCTGGAGGCAAATGTCATTAAAACAGCAACTTCTCCCACCAACTTTATTTTCAGAAGTTTCTTTCAGTGTGACAGTAAAAAAGCAGGGTTTTCTATTTCTCCATTGCTGGAGAAATTTAGAGAAAACTAAACCGAGGTGCCCATCTTTGTTCTCTCACTATATAAGTGTGAACCATTGGTGTACTTTTTCTGAATATGTGGCATTATTATGATCCAAATCTAGTATTTATCTCTGAGGGTTTTTTTGTTTGTTTTTTTTTCCTCTTGTATGCAGGGTGCGTCTTCTAGGAGGCCTGGAACACCAGGATGTCAGAAATGTCCTGGTCCAGGGGCACATTTTTCTCAACACTTCCCTCACTGAGGCCTTTTGTATGGCTATTGTGGAGGCAGCAAGCTGTGGTTTACAGGTAAAAAAAAAAATCTAAAAAATCTCAGTATCTAAAAGACATGTATCCATTTTAAACAAATTTCACAATAAAATAATGTGTTTATCACATTGATTTCATCTGAGGCTCTGTCTTGACAGAGGTAAGCAAATGTTATCCCCATTTACAGATCACCTGGAAGCTGAGAGAGAAGGGTTAACTCCGAGAGGAATTTTGTGTAGAATTTGCAGTAACATTTAGATCTGCTCTCAGTTCTCTGAACTAGCCAAATACTGTTTTGTATGTGCTCCTTTATGGAGTTTTGGGGTAGTTGATGTTCACAAAGGTTTACTTCGAAAGGAGCTGCAGAAAAATTGCCTTCCTGTGTAGAGATTCAAGATAAGTGTGAGAGAGAGAACAGTAAAAGCCCTGACTAATTTACAACTCAGACTGACAACTCAAAAAAGAAGTTGAGTCAGTAGCCATAAAGAATTAGAGTTTCACAAGAAACAATAAGGGAACCTTATTAAGAAGACAGACTGATAAGACTACCTAATTTACAGTAAGTATAGAAAATGGGAGTGACTTCAATTTTTTCTTTACCTCAGTATCCTTTAACAGCAGTTACTACCTAGTTGTAGTTACTCTTTTGCCATCTCTTCTCTAGAGGTGAGAAGTTTTGCAGTTTCTTATTGCCCAATGTTTAGAAATGATTGCACAATGTGAGTCTTTGTAATTTCTTACTTCCCTTTAAAAATAATAATGCCGATTAATATAAATACATTTTTGCAAGTGTTCAGTAACCTAGGAAACTGGAATTTCAAGTATGTGGTAAAATTATCCTCTGCAAGTAGAGGTAACAGGTTTTTTTGAGATACTGTGGAAGAAGTGTCCAAAATCTGATTACACAGGTTCAGTTGTGTATTGTGGCACACACCTTCAGGAAAGGTGTCTCATAATCACTCATTAGACCTGTCTGGTTAGTCTTCTGTTTTATCACCAAAGAATCTTTATGGACAATGTTGAAGGTAATCTGCTGTGTTTGTCTTTTCTGGGGTTTACATTTTTAGTTCACACACAGGTCAAGTTCCCAAACCATCATATTTTCCTATTCTTTTAAATAATTGCATCTAAACAATGTAATAGCATTGCTGTCACACAGGTTCATTTTTTATGTTACCAATTCTTTTGTTTGTTTCAAAGGTGGTGAGCACAAGAGTTGGTGGGATTCCAGAGGTACTTCCAGAAAATCTCATCATTTTGTGTGAGCCCTCTGTGAAATCTTTGTGTGATGGACTAGAAAAAGCTATTGCCCAGCTCAGATCAGGAACTCTGCCATCTCCAGAAACTGTTCATAACAAAGTAAAGACTTTTTATACGTGGAGGAATGTAGCAGAGAGAACTGAGAAAGTATGTATAATCACTTCTTTTAAATTCTCTGAAATTACATTTCTGAAACAATTCTTGCTTTGAAATATTACTAGGCACATTCACCATGCAATATTCCAGTGTAATTTTTCACCATGTTTCCTCTCAAACATACATGATTTTAAAAGGTCGAGAAAATGCTTTTTTTCCCCACAAATAACTCCTGGATATATTTTCTATTTGTATTTGTATTTTCTAACATGCCATGATTGCTGGTAAATATTTTGAAGAAAAGCCTAGATCATTAGTTAGATTTCTACTCTATTTGTTCAAGTCTTGACATGAAGTAACTTTTCTGGCATAACTGGAAAATGTGCTGCTCAGGTGTATGACAAGGTAAGAACAGTTCATGACAAAGCTTTGCCATGTGCTAACAAGTAGTTTAAAATTATGTGAAGTAGTTTAGTGCTGGAAGGTTGAACACAGCTGAGTTTACATAAGCTCTGGTTGTAATGAAAATTTATTTTCATAGTTTTGAAATCATATTTCAGAACTAGAGCTGCACTTCAGTAGAAAAACTCTGCCTTCAGTGAAGAATGTTGGCTGCAGTAATGTTACAAACACCTGTGGAGCTGTGTCACTTCTGCCTTCACCTCCTGTGTTTTAGGAAGGAGAGAGTAGCTGAACCCCATGCCTCTTACTTAGATTGTACTGCACTCAACTGTATATCTCTCACAAGCCTCCTTGAAGTGCCATGTACAACCAGTTTATTTTAATATTTTTAAGTGCCATCAGTATAATTCATTTTATGATTTTGTAACGGCAGGCAACATTTGAATTGCAAAGTTTTTACAGACGTTAGCCTAGATTTGAGTTTGCTTTATATAACATTTTCTTAAAAAAACCCACCAATACTTCATGAAGGAAAATGGTCATAGAATTGGTAGAAGTATGCATAGATCTTAAATTTTACAGAATTTAAGATAAATTAAAAAGTAATTTACTTTAAAATTTACTTTAAAAGTAATTTACTTTAAAATTAAAGTAAATTTTACAGAATTTACCAGATAGTTGTTTGTTACCAAATAAGGTTACCTGTAGAATGGAGTCTGTAACATTCTTAAGGAAATAAGGAAAATAACTGTGTCCTTCAAGCCTTTTTGGAGTGGTTTGTAGTGGGTTTGTAGTTGGCTTTGATTGACATGTATAATAAGTCACTAGTGGCAAATATTTGCATTGTGTAGTAATTGAACTACTGTTTCTTTAAACAAAAATCAGGAGCCTATTAGGATTTGGTTCATTGTTCAAATACAGAGATTTGGAATAGTGCCAAACTCACCTAAGAGTTCATCCATCATTGTGTTTAAAATCTAGTAATTGCATGTTCAAGCTCTTCCTGGGACTGATGTGAATATGAGATTAGAACCCATTCAATCCATTAAAACCTCCAGCCCTTTCTGTATAATATTACATGAGAGAAAAATTATGCAGCCTTCCTAGTTAATGAAATACTTCTGAAGTGTGTAAAAGAAGAGAATGTTTCGTATTTCTCCTTAAATGAATGAATGAAATATCTAGAACAAGACTCATAAATCAGCACTTAGGATCTGCAAACTTTTTGGGGGGCAATATTTGTCCTGTCTGGTGGCTAAGACTAGATCATTTATTTTGTGCAGTGATAATAAAGTACTGCCTGATTTTTGAGGTAGAATCAATGCATTTTTAAGATGTTACTTTCTGTCTCCTCTCTGTTCAGGTGTATGACAGAGTTGCAGATGAAGTGGTTTTACCAATGAAGGAGCGACTTGACAGACTAATGACTCACTGTGGTCCCGTGACCGGGTGTATTTTTGCTTTTTTTGCTGTTCTGAACTTCCTTCTCTTGGCATTTCTGAGGTGGATGACTCCAGATTCCATTATTGATGTTGCAATAGATGCTACAGGACCTAAGGGTGCATGGACTAAACGGTATTTTTTTGGGAAAAAAAGAAGAGTTAAAGAGGAACTTGTAAACTCCTAAATTGCGCAAGTGGAGAGAGAAGAACGTGTCAGTCATTAAAGGTTTTAATGCTTGCTGACAGAGACATTACTCTTAAAACTCTTCAGTTTCTTTCTGAAGTTCTTGGAAAGAAACTTAGTTCAATGTGCTACCTCAATTTAGGATGATGTTCTTAGTTCAGTTTTGGATTAATGCAAATCTATGGGCTTCTCTTTTGCACTGAAAGCTGGGAGGAGAAAATGTGTTTTTATATATGTCAGAAGCCTTGGAAACAAAAGTAGAAGATTTCCCTTGATAACTTGAACATTGCAGAAAGGGACTTAAGTGTTTGAGAAAGCAAAACACAACAATTATTAGCTTAATGTAATCCCTGCTAATCCCTGATATTTACTGTGACTTTTATTTTAAGACCTCTTTTAAAATAATTAAAATCTCAACAAAATACACCTTTTTTTCTCCTAAGATGAAAATGGCACTTGAAATTAGTCATAAAGTCCATTACCATGTAAATTTCAGAGACTTAGTTCTAGCAGTTGTGTCCCAGTGACAGTGTTTTGCCTGCCTAGCATTATTACTTTGAAGTTCTTCCCTAGTCAGAGTTGCACATTCTGTTGCTAAACCAACATTCCATAATGATTTTCTGATATTTTCAGAGGTGCTAATTTTTTCCTGTTCCCTTACACGTGTGAAAGTGATGTAAAGCTTATAGTGATTTTGGGTTTTGCTTTTGCTTTTCGGTACATAGGGGAAGAAATAGTATTATTTAGAGATAATACAGCCTCTAGAAACATCTCAGGCCTGAAAACCTCCAGCAGTCTGTGCCAAAGTGTCAAGTAACACGTGTGTGAGAGAGCAAAAACTGTGAAGGGCTTACAAGCACACTCGTGCTTACCTGCTCTCTCCACCTCCCACCCACCCATCCCTTCTCCTTTCTTATGACCAAAGTGGCATTTCAGTCCATCTCTGGGAGGGACAGCGTTCAGGGTGAGTGATTTCACCTCACCCACGTCAGAGACACTGGCTGCCAGGTGCTGCATGTGAACTCTTGGGAAGGTATTCCTTAAGTGAAATAACAATGGCTGTGCTTTTCATGGAGAGACAGAAGGAGCAGCTGTGAGGAGTCTGAGTGATTTGTACTGGGGCAGGAGGCAGCACAGCATTGTGCCAATGGCTGTGAGAAGAGGTGTTTGTTTCATTTGTGTCAGCCACCTCTAAAATTGCCCCTTGTTTGATGCACTGGGTTAGTTTCTTTTTCAAGCATCACTAATCATGACAAGCTTCCTATTTTATGACTCTGGAGTATTGTGTGCTGTTGGACACTGTATTAATATTAAAACTGTGCAATATGAAAACACTGTTTCCAAACCCTTGAAGAGTAGTATTTAACACACTCCTTCTGCCAAATTCATCTTGTTTATGTAGAGATGTAATTACACAAGCATTTTATAATTTCATTGAACATATTTTCATGAAACAAAAAGATAGTGTAAATAATTGCCATATATAAAGTCTATTTTCTTTTACTAGAATTTTTAGCCTTTGATATGTAACATACAGCTGCTTTAAAAGCAGAAATCATCTAAAATGGTGCCACAAGGTTTAAGGATAAATGGGTAGAATTAAGCTAATATTCTACTTTTTTAAGTTATTCTTTTTTTTTTATATTGTTCAAGCATTGAAATTTCTAACAACCTTTTGAAAATACTGATTGCCACTCCAGGGAAATGTTATATATATATGTGTGTGTGTAATTTTAGTAATACTTTGTTCTCTTTTAGTTCTGTTTGGTTTCCTGCAACATCTGCAAACACAAATCAAAAGGATTGCGTGTATCTATTCAAAATAAGTTTTCTTTTGTGGAACATTGTGTACTTACAAATAACATAATAAAACCTTGTTATAGTCTTGTTTACAAGCCCAATGTAAAGTTTATCTAGGGGTTTATTTACCTTTCCATAAAAAATGGATACATTTCATTAATGTGTGGGAGGATGTAATTAGAAAATACAGAACTAAAAACCATAATGCTACTTTTCACCACTGGTTGTTGGAGTTCCTATGAGAATGTTTTTTAATAATCATCTTTCTGTACAAGCTGCCATACAAACTTAACCCATAACTGGTTTCTCAAATAACACCACTTGTATTATGCAGAACTTTGTGGAAATGATTTGCTCACTGGCTTTGTGCAGTGGAGTAAAGGATGATGCCACAGAAACATTTACAGTTCTACAAAACATCAGGCTAAATAAAATAAGCAGGATACTAAAAAAAATTACTGAGATAATGAATATGGTTAGAAATTAATAAAATAACTTGTTTAAAAAATTAAAATATTTCAGTTGTGCTTGCAGGTAACATTCAATTGTTGTGAAATACCAGGGAAATGTTAGGAAAGGGAGAGTGACACTAATTAAGCAAGGTCTTGCACAGAGCAGAGCCTCTGGTGTGTAGGAGGAGCAGGAAGACCTGTATAGAATGTCCCCCTCCCAAACTGCAATGGAATTCCATCCCCTGGCACAAGGAGGAATTATTGTTTCCAATACATGATGTGCAGACACTGTGAATCAAGGTATTGAAAATTGTAGGTTAAACCATGCAATACACCATACAAGCATCAAGTAAAGTATTAGATTAGTCTTTCAGACTATGTTTGAGTGGATGTGGATGTATCTGTAAGAAGGTAACTACTGTAATTTACTTGGTTTGTGGTCAAGTTTTTCTGCATCTGTTAATATTTTTTTCCCTGTTTTATATTTGGTCCCTTTTTCATATATGCCTAGGCTTTTGAAATTTAATTGTAAAAGTCTTTCTGGTGCTTTCTGCTTCAGTAAAATACAGACTTTATGTAAATACATAAAAGAATAATCAGTCTCAAAATGGCTTAATATTTTGATTTTTTTTTAAATTAAAAGTATTTCAATATTTTTAGTGTTTAATTGCTGTCATTAAACTACTCTCATGATATTTGCTGTGCATCATGACATTTGGTAGTATGTTGACTTCCACAGTTTTCCCTAATGACTTGAACGTGGGCAGAGATAAAAGGTGGATATTTTTTAAGGGAATAAAACTAATGACAGGATGTGGCTATGTGTCTGAATTTATTATGTTACCAAAATTAACATTTTTCTTGTAAACCTGGCAGGTAGATCAGGTTGCTTTCAGATCATGACATGCTTCAACTCTCTCACAATTCTAGAGATGCTACTTGTGCAAGATTCATTGAACTTCAACTGTGCATGGCTGCTTGTCTTGTGCATGCTGGTTCTTCAAGCTGCTTGTTTAAGCAGGAGGGGCTGGTGCATTCCCTGGGAACACAGAGAATGCTGCTGGAATTTGCTATCCTCCTGCCCAGGCAGCAGCAGGAGTTTCAATAACCAGGTGTGATGGGTGGCAGATAGGTGAGATCACTCCCACATTGGCTTGACAGCAGCCCGTGAGTCACTCTCACATCTCTTTTCAAGAGGAGTGTTGTAAGTGTGCTCACCCAAGGATGCAAATAAGGCAAGGCTTGTGTGGGGAGTAGTGTCATTTATTGGATCAAACTGATAGACAGAAAGTAGCCAGGCTCTGTATGGACTCCTTTGTTCTCATCTCTTCTGTTTGAGTGTTTCTGACTCCTTTTTTTCCCCAGTTGCCTTACTTTGATTGAATACATTGGATACTCTAATCCCAGCTAAATATATTAGAAATACACTGCTGTAATTCAGAGTGTGTGTAGCATAAGAATAGACCAATACCTCTCTGAAGTTCTTTGACATCAGCATTCCTCATCCTTTATTTCCTTGCCAAATTCTTTAGGTCATATCTGATATTTGTCCCTAGAAGTTGGGCAAAGTTAAGGTGAACCTTAGTGAAAATGAGTTGTTTTCTAAGCTGGATTGCCCTTTTTTTCCTGCTTATTTCTTGCATGTGTGTAAACTAGCATATATAGACATTACTTTTCATGTTTTTTTGAAGATGTAGCTAAACTACATCTATTTACCTCCTCATGACAATTTTTTTGAAGGATTAATATATTTTTTGATATTTTGATTTAACAATTTAATAATTATCCCAGAGTTAAGGAAGAGTGATTCACGGCATAGTTAGGCCATCTTGCATAAATCAGTGAGGTGTGTTTTTTCTACAGGGGGCTGACTTGTTCACTCAAGTCTGTTAATGGAATTGCGTAATGCACCTTGCTCAGGTCACAGCAGCGATACTCAAAAGAGCAAGGGAGAGCGATGACAATCCTGTGTCTGCACTGCCATTGCTCGTGTGTTCCTCCTGTTCTCACGCCTACACAATGTTGCTCATCTCTCTAGTTTCAAAAATACCAGAGATTTCTGAGTGATCACACCCAAGCTTGCTGTTGTCTGCCTGACTACTACCCTCACCAGTATTCATACTTTCCACCATGCTGTTCAGCTGTCTTCCCAGTGATAATTTTCTTTTACATCCACTGCATTAATTTCCCCAGTGCTCTTGTACGCTAAGAGCAGATTAGGAGATTACACAAGTTTTTCTCAAATGACTCACTGAATAATTTAACTGAAAATCTTTATTTGTCTTGTTCTGAAGCCAGGAGGGTGATTTTGCTGCTACACAAATAGTTAGTCCTTCTGGGAGCGTCATGTTCCAGTGAGTGCTTCCAAGCAGTCAAACTTTCCTGTGGTTATCTAGAGCACTTGGAGAGCTCTTTGGTATTATTCCATTAGGGATAAAAGAATTTCAGCGGCAAGCACCTGATTTTCAGTTTCTTGCATTTTTCTGAGTTTTATGGACGTGCACAATTCTACATACCATCTAGTAGGTTGATTGTGAAAGAAATCAGTTATTTTCCTTTGCAACCAAAAGCCTGGTTTTCTAGTTTTTTTGTCTTAAAAGCTGCTCTTCCTTCTTGCTTGTCTCCTGTTGAGAGCCAGTTTTGTAAATACTACACAAGAAAGATTTCTCCATTATTCAGGCTGACTTTACTTTGTAATGGTCTTAATATTTTTTATGTGTTCTTTTTCTCTGCATCCAACATTTTGTTCTTTACAGCTTTTACTATTTCTCTGGCTCCAGGAGGAATGTTTTCATTATCTCGGATTTTTCTGGGCTGACCATTCTGGTTTTTGGTCCACCTTCATTTGCTAATTTCTTCTCTGTTTCTTAGCTGAGGAGAATTAACTGCCAATAAACCAATATTTTGGTTTCTCTGTGATTCTTTAACTGAACTTTTCTTGTCCTGTAATCTGTATCTTCAGCTGTCTGTGGCAAACAGTATTAAAGTGATTGAAATTATTCATAAGTATAATAGTTTTTACAGGTATTTAAAATTACTGTGTAAGGAAAGGTAGATGTAATACTTTTGTAAGGGGTTAAGTTATGTAAGAATGTAATAACTTGGTTTAATTCAGAATTTTCATAAAATTGTTTCACTGGAGAAAATTGCTTGGAGTGTTTTATCTCTGCACATATTTTATACAGCATTTTAGTGCACCTGGGAGGGCTGAGCACCAAAGACAGCAAGGTACTAAACCAGCTGTATTGCTATAAACCAAAAGAAATTTCATCTAAAATGCTCAGAGAAATAATTTGCTGTATAATTTCCCTGTGCATATCACCATCTCTTTGAGATCTCTAAGAGAGGAATTATTCTGCTCTTTTACTTGACAGATGTTGGAATTGAAGGCTAAGAGAACCTGGGCAAAGAGAGGAATCAAGTAAGAATTAAATCCTCCTCCTGTGGTACATATAGGAAAACAAAAATAAATAAAAGTTTAAAATAAAAAGAGATGGGGTGTTCTACATAGATTCAAATAAATACATAGAGAACCCTTTGTTCTCTATGGAAGCCACGTGCCTTCAAAACGAAAAAAAAGGGCAGTTAAAGAAAGGGTACATCTTGTTCAATTTCAAACATTACACCTTTGAATCAATGGAGGATAATGTAAAAATATTTCTGAAACAGACAATGCTGTTTGCAAGAGATATCTGTGGACACCACTATTTATCCCTGAGTAATGGAAAAAAATGATATGTGTTTCTTGTTGTGCAATTTCAATGCATT